ATTTAAAACACGTATAACAATCATGTTGGTAATGACTTGTCATTTGACCAATTTAAAACAATCGCTGTCACCAATGCAGGGATAAAACGAAATATAGCTGTATATAATATAGATATTGATTTATTTTTGATCAATTTTATAACGACTAAAAGGGTGGTAAGGGTAAATAAATAAAAGACTGAAGTTTTAACATTTACATTTATTCATTATTCTATATTCTACAGGTTTATATATACAATTAATCCTGGGTTCTATGTCTTGGCAGTCCTGGCTATGTTTGATCAATTTTATAGTGACCAAGCGCAAGAGTATTGATGCCATCTTCCAGAATAAACCTCTTGTCATCGTCAAACGATAGTACTTTCTTGTTCATGGTTAAGGTTTGAAGATGATGATTTGTAGATTTAATTCTTGTCACATTCTCATAGTAATCTTGCCCAGTTGCAAGACAGTTCAAATAATGTTGATGTCTAAGGAGATGTTTAACTGTAGCACCATCAGCTCCTTTAGCTTTCTTCACCTCTAAAGCTTGCTTGTCTTCTTCATATAACCATTTTAGAGGAATATAAGAATATAGTTTTGGTCTTAAACCACAATATTCATACATAATATGACCATCTAATTCGTCTTTAAACTTGCCAGTGACTTTTTTATTTTTATCAGAGTATAAGAAATGGTCTTTACTATATCCAGAGGTATCAAAAAAGTGCAAGTCACATTCTATTTCCTTGTAAAAGTCCTCTGTAACTATAGAATACATTAAAGAATCTGTATCTGTCATAAGAAATCTTTTGTTCTTAAATTTTGACATATAATTATAGTGGAAATCATACATTATTACTTTACTGATATCCAAAATTGTCATTCCTAAATATATAGGTTTATTAAACTTTACAACTAATTTATTTAAATGTATAGCATGTAAATTGTTATCGAACTTTTTGCTACAGTCAAACCTTGGATTAGTGACATATTTTGTTAATAGTGACTCATCCTTGAGATAAATGTCACGAAACTTTCGTTGATTCATAATTGTTCGACCAAAAAGACTATTATTTAACAATTTATAAAAGTCTTTTTCAAAATCATTTTTAGCACATTTGCGTTTTTCAATATTAAAATTAATATAGGGTGCAAGCCATTTGGACTGTCTAAATTTTAAAATTCTATGGTATTTTGTAGCAACTAAACCCAATTCCTCATATTTTTGTAATGCTTTATAATGTAAAATATATTTAGTTTTGTCATTTAAATTAGGTATTAATTTGCCATTCATTTTCTCAGGTGCTAATGGATAGTCATTATGTAAATCGTGTAAGCTTTTATCATATTTTAAATCAACTTCTAAAATGTATCCAAACTTATCATTTTGATTGTATTTGTAGTCTATCTCATTAGTCCAACGAAATCCATCCACAGGCAGTGTCTCACACATTGCTGTAGAGTATAGTGAGTTACAGTCTAAATATATTAAATACACACTCTCTTGATTGGGGTCATAGTGTTCACCCATATATCTATTATTGGCTTTAGCGTAACGTGTGGAAATCATACTGACTCCTCCTCTAATCGCACTTTCTATGAACAAATGCATGTCAATATCTTGAAATAATTGTAATTTTATGCCAGTCATTCTAAGACAGGCTTCCCATGTTAGTCCTGGAAGTGAATACATATGTACGGGGTCCAGTTTATAATCTTTTAAGCATAGGTCTCTAAAAGTCTCAAAGACATCAGCCAGTAGCAATACATCTGTTTTAAGATATAAATCATGATATTCTTGTAAATTATTTATATTAAAATGGGTCCAGACATTTTTAGCATGTTCATATTCAATGGGAGAGATATGTTCTTTAGTTAGAGTACTGTAAAATTTTTCAATTGGAGGTAGAGACTCTGCAAACTTATCTGGTCCCGTCATATATTCATAGGGAAATACGCCTTTACGTTGTAGTAGTGGATTGTCTATGAATCTAAATGTATTTAAATTTGAAGCTAATTTGTACAATGGAAGGGGCAGAAAGTTATAGGAATCCAAAAATACTAAATCATCAACTGAAAATGAAATGTACTTTTCCATATCCTTGGCTATGCAATTTAATTTACGATTAAACTTTCCCAAGTGTTGCATTATTAAATGTCCATCATAATTTTTCAAGTTATGAAAGAATACTGGTATTTTCTTTGTTATTTTATAGTTTAAATTACAATCATTATGGGCAGCTCCACGGTATCGGCCAGATGAATGACAATGATCACGTACCCTATCAAAATATAGGGGCTTTTCACAAATGTGACAATGCGTTGAGTTTTGGAAAGATGCCTCTTGTTCAGGAGTCATTACAAGAGGAATATATATCGCCATTTGACTTTTAATGAAGTCATAAGTCTCAAACAACCTTTTGAAAAACACGTCCATAACATTTTCGCCACTGTATAACTCTTCAGAAATAATCTTAGAATCTCTCACTACAACAAATGCAAATCCAGATGGAGTATGATTGTTTGAGTTTATAAAACATTCAAAATCTGCATAAATCACAAATGGGGCTTTAAGTTGATATTTATAGTTTTTAAATTGTAATGTATCTTGTTTAGACATTTCCACTCGTTGGGCATCAAAGTTTTTACAATATGTTATATGACGCTCCAATTTATCATTAGTGTAAAAATGTTGTAAACACAGCTTACAAAAATGCTTCTTATGGTCGTGTTTTGTAGACCGCAGCATTAACCTATTAAAATCACGAATTAAACAATAATGTGATTTACGACCTTCTTGTAATAATAATAAATCTACATGAGTATTACTATTCAGTTTAGTTGTTTTTAATGGATATATACATGTATCATCTTCAACCCCAAATACATTAACACTTATATTATTTTGTTTTTCAAATTTATCTATATCAGCTAATTTCACAGGATACTTTATGTTTGACATATTCAGCTGACTTTCATGTGGTACATAATTGGAGACTCTATTAGCATTTTCATTAGAGTTCCTTGGATATAAAGCTGCTAATACCGACCAAAGAAAGCATTTATTATCATCATTTTTTATATTTAAAACTGCATGTTTCGATTTAATACTCTCTGGTGTAGGTATATATGACTTTGGAGTTAGGGGCTTATACTTGTAAACATGTAACTGCCAATATTTAGTATGGTCATATATCCATCCACTACCTTCCGCTTGATATTTGTGCATGGAAGCATCAATCTTTAAAAGTGCATTTTCAATTTGAGGCTTTAAATCTCTCTTCTCAATAGTTAAGGTAGTAAGGCTTCTAAAATCTGCAATACATTCTTTTTCATTGACTAATTGTCCATTTTGATCCATTGAATATTTTATAAATTTGATTCTCCTTACTAAAGTCCATTTTATCGGCAGAGGACAAGACTGAAGAGTATTTTTAAGGTCAGCTCTAATCGATTCACCGACAAATTTAATCATTGTATATGGACATTTGATACAAGAATTGGCGTGTCTTTTAAAATGTCCAACAACATTCGTTTTACAGAAATTACAAGTCTTGTGATTTTGTAATATATGTGATTTTAAAGCCGCGTTATTATCACAGATTAAATTGCAAACTTTACACAGTTTCACCTTCATTTGATGAATTACCTTGTAGTGGCGAATGAGGTTACTTTTGGTGGAGAGCGACACAGAGCAGTGTTGACAGGTGGGCCTCATGGTCCAGAATGAAATATCACCCGAATGTCACTTCTATTTATAGATTTTTCGAAAATTTAAAAAAATTTTAACCAGAAATTGTGAAATTTTCAAAATTTTTAGCTAGAAATTAAAAAAATTTAAACAATTTAACTAGAAATTACTTCAACAGGAGGTCACCCACCCAAGGCTTAATCAAGAGCTACCACTAGAGACGAGAAAACTGACCATGAGTCGGGAGCGAGAAGCCTGACCATAGGTCGGGAGCATGACCGGGAGCATGCCATGAGCCGATTTCGCGTACAAACCTCACACTGTTAAGTTGATGATTTTGTGAATATACATGCGAATGGATGTGGGTTTGAAATAGTAATGTAGTTGTACAATGGTATTGAACATTAATATAGGCTTGTATTGGTCGAGAGCAGGATTTTTGGAATTAGTGGCTAAAAAAAAGCTCACCATTTCCAGACATGTTTTTCAGTATTAAAAAAGTAGACAATTTATATAGGGGTGTATAGGTCGAGAGCTGGGTCTTTAAAAAAAGTGGCCAAAAAAAACTCTTCCATTTTTTTCTCATTTTTCCCCTATAAAAAGTGCTCTAAAAGTGCCTCTAAAACGCCGAAAGTGGGGTCATATTCTGGTATTATATCTACTCTAAATTTACACTTGTAAGGGTCAATAAATATAAGAAATAGCTTTTTAGCTTAATATCAAATATATTTATGGGGAATAAGTAAGGAATAAGGTTTGACAATTATATAGGGATATTTAGGCAAAGATCAGGATTTTTGGTTTTGGTGGCCAAAAAATGATCCCCATGTTATTCTTATGGGGAAAACGTGCCTAAAGTGATGTCTCTTTGCCATATTGTCACTACTGATTGTATATTGATTGTTTAGACTTTTGCAAATTGAACAAGTTGATGAAAAAATAAGAAATGTTTGTTTATGCCGATAAAAATATTTAAAAAATATAGTAAACCTTACTTTTGCATAGTAAACAATGCAATGGTGGATTTTTGCAGGTGATAATTACATGGTGTTATAACGAAAACATGTGATTTCACAGTTGTGTAGAGAAAACAAATTTTCAATCACCTTAATTCATGTCTTAATCCGTTTTCTTAAACCTTGCTTTTATATTTTGCAGAGGCTCAATTTCTTTGTGGTTTTTTTTTTCAGAAGTAGTGATAGGTTATTAGTAGTTGATATATATAACAATACGATGTTTATTAAGTCATATCCTGAAACAATTATCTGCTTTAAAGCTTCCTTATAAATGATTTTACTTTGGGTAACACTAGATATTGTCGTCGTACCTCTGACAGGGCAGTTCTCGTACTTGGGGCAGCACTGTCCCGGAACCTCGATGGGGTCGCAGTCATCTCTATGGTAACACGTGATGGAGTTGCACATCACTTCACCTCCCTTGCAGTAACACACCTGGCAAGGCTCCTCAGGCAAGTCCAGCCGCTCTCCGTCGTTGTACAGCTGGCCGTTGTAGTCACATTCTGCGCAACAAGAAAACATGCTATAGATATTCTGTTTCTTAGTTACTTCACAAATAATCATGTATCGTATTTCAGTCACCTTATAGTACGAGAGGGACGGGTTTGATCCACGCAGATTGAAGGAGTTGGGACCGTTTCCACTTAAAAGCTATAATGATTTTACTTAACAAAAACTCCACGTACGTTTACAATATTTTAATAATTTTTATACTCTTGTCTATTTTTAATTCCCACAAAAATATTTTCGTCATACTGCAGCAAAAACTGCTGTTTCAAATACATGCGTTTCGGGCAAAGGCGAATGTTTACTATCTAGAGAGTAAAAGCGTTTTTAGCCCCTAGGGAGTGAAATCAGCTGTAGTCATATGTAAATTTCGATTGTAAGCAATTGCATGTATCACAGTATATACCAATTATTTAATCGGTTGTAGCTTATTGTTGCCTTCTTGTAATAGTTTTACATATCCATAGTATAATATCAACTAACAATATACACAATCGTAATAGACAACACGATTGAATCGCTCACTAAACAGCTGCTTGTTTGCTAATGCAAACAAGCAGCTGTTTAGTGAGCGATTTTATTTGTGAGCGATTGTTAGTGAGCGATTTAACTTGTTTTCAATTCAATTTGCTAATGCAAATTGAATTGAAAACAAGTTAGATGTATTTTTGATAAGTTATCTGAATAGTTATTTGTGTAACTAGTGGTGAAAGTGGCACTTTGCTGCACACGAGAGCAATGTTTACGCACGAGCCGCAGGCGAGTTCGGAATGATCTCGAGTGCAGCAAAGGCCTTTTTCACTCGTGTTACACATTATATTTTTCCTACAGTCACTATAAAGCATATAAATAGTCTTTCAAACACTATTACAACACGTTTTTAGGTTCAGCTGGCAACACAAATGGTGCCCTAGAGAAAGTAGTACCCGCGGTCCGTATTACTCCGCTATTCTTCCTCGGCAAGAAATGTTCTCCGCGTTTTGAGAATATAGTTCCGTATGATTTTGTAATTTGAAGTGGTTTCCGTGCCTAAAAAAATGCTTTAAAGGTATTTTCTTGTGTATTAAGATCGTAGGAATGTTTTAAAAACGTTTAGAAGAAAAGTCCAGAAAGTTCATAAATACCGAAACTATAAACACGAAATGACAGGTTAAATCGTAGTTATAATAGTCAATCAGCTGCTCATAGTATTATTATCTTTAAGTGTTGCCAACCTATTTCCAAGCGTACACGGATTACATGCATAATAGAACCATGCTGTTTTGTGTTGTTTCGTTGGAATCCTGATGTGCGGCAAAGTATAAACCGTACGACAAAGTATAAACCGTCCGGCAAAGTATAAATATGCAGCAATTAGCAGCTTTCTGTACTATAAACAATACAAGGAAGCCAACTTTGTCGGGTGACTGTAGGGAAAAAATTTAGTTTTATAATAATTTAGTTTGTTTAAATAATGGTGCAATATGGTGACAAAAAATATATTTCATGACACGGGCATAAAGTGTATTTTCAACCCTAGTAAAGAAATATACCATATTTTTAACTTAAATTTAAATAATAAATATTTGATGGTTATTCTACAAATAACAAATCCAATTGAGAAAATTTTTGTAAGTATTGTACTAATCAAAGCTAATTGTATTAAAGAAAAAAGCTTTCATAATCATTTAGTAGCTGGACAAAGTTCAATAATGTAATAGTTTTTGCTTTAGTAAAGTTTATGAAGTAAAAATCTTTAAATAGCCGTTAATTGTAAGGAGATGTATAACAAGAATAAATGAAAAAAAGGAAAGGAAAAAGCACCTAATTTTCACACTCCCTTTCTACAACTCACATAATAATATTCGAAGCGCCTTTCAAAAACACAAACAATGGTTTTTTACTATCTGTTCGGTTGGAACCCTGCTGTGAAAGAACATAAATGCTATAATGTAGTATGTAGCAGTTGTACCTAATTATTGAAAATTATTGAAATTCATCTCGTTAAAATGCAACAAATAATCAAATAAAAGCAATATTAATTTATACAAAAAAGAACAGTATATATATATACTGTGTATGTAAAAGAGTCTCATTATTTTTCATGAATTCAATTTCTAAATTTAATTTTTTAGATGAAAATTCATGAGAATAAATTAATGGAGGCCTTTGCTTAATGTACCAATGTGATATGTGATACATCAGTGACTTTATTCTTTATAATTGCTAGATTATGAAGAGATTATCCCGACGTACTTCAGTATACTGGAAATACTTCCCCAGGAGTATTGATATCATTAAGTTGGTTAGGTAACTAAAATTGAAAGGATATTAAGCCAATTAGATTTTTGTTAAAAAAGAAGAATCCGGGAATGACTAAATAAAACCCAATTCATGCCCTTCTAAAGTAAATGATGGTTTTACAAAAATATAACCGTGAAGAAAATATTAAAGCATTACAAAGAAAAAAACTTATGGTGGGTTATTATTTAAAGATATGACATACACAGAGTCCATCATGCTTCAAAAATTCAGATTGTTTACACTATAAATTTTAAAGGATTTAAAAATAACATAAACGAAGTCTGTTAATTGATCCAGATTCTATTGGTGCCGGGCGAAAGTAAAATTCATTTTGGGCTTCTAGGTGGGAAATTCATGGATCATAAGCTACATTTTTATTGGGACTTGCTTTTTTCATAAAACGCACTTTTAATCATTTTTTAGTTCAGAAATTATAGTGAAGCTTTGAAAACTTTGAGCAATGTCATCAATATCCCTTACTGTCTCTAGCCAATTAAAGTCATTCAGCATGATAGATTCATTGGAAGAAGGCGTTGTGTCAGTACCAAAGTAACCAATTGTCTGCTGTCTATGTAGTGGTAGTGACTCACCACAGTTGTAGTCTGGACAGCAGTGGTTGGGTTTCTGGATGGTTCGACAGCCATTGTTGTTGACCGGACACTTGACCATGTTACAGACGATGGAGGGAGGTTCACAACGACACTCCTCACAAGGCCCGGGGTTGGGCATGATGTCACCCTTCTGGAACACCTCCCCTTCCGAGAAACAAACTGTAAAAACAGTAGAAAGTATGAGACAGACAAGTTTGCCTGGATATATAGGGTGATTCTAAATTATTGTTACACTTTGTAAACTCTATAAATGAAAAATCATACAACCTATCATCACGGGATGAGAATCAATTGAAAGTGGAGATTCTCAAGTTTTTTTTTCAGACCATATTGGTAAATATAGTTGCAATATAAGCCTCTAGAGTCATTTTTAGATTTTAACTACGATTTACAATAATTACACAATTTAAAATCAATGAAACTATAAAACACACAACACTTTTTGCTTTTTCGAAGTCACGTTCCTCGCAGCTTATAATAATAGTAAATAACAATAACTGAGCGGTAAATTATAGAACTAATTGATCCCTAGTGGTATTTCTTTAAAAATCTGTTGACAATTCAACATATAGTATGAGGTTTTGAGTTTCAGAGAGGAAGAAGTGTGTATTTAATTTTAAATTGTAGTTAAGATCTAAAAATATCTGTGGAGGCTAATTTTGCAACCAGCATCATCAGACTATGGGAACGGGGTTTTACGATGGGTTTTATAGGGTAAAAATTGGTTTTTCTAATTTTTGACCCTCAAAACACAAACTATTCTAATTTCTCTCCAGACTTTTTTAAACAGCTTAAAAAACAAATGAATAATTTAGTATATCAAAGTGTTTTTACTATTATTGGTTACGGAGAAAATTAAAAAAATTGTTATTTTAAATTTCCATGTTATTCTTATAGAGAATTTTGTAGCTTGTTGTTTATGGATATATTTATATCAAACTTGGTAAAATTGTTTATTTTATACTAAGTTATGTATATTTTACTAAAAAAGACACTTTCTTACCCTCCCTGTAGCAGCAAGCCTAGGTACTCATGAAACCTAATGTTAATTGAATACATTTAATTCAAAATCTATTCAGGCAAATGGAAACTCGTTTAGTCGGCAGGTTTGCTGCGGTAGGGGTATTATTTATAGAGTTTCAAAAGTGTAACAATAATTTAGAATCAGCCTGTGTTATGGTTTAGAACATTCTTTTTAAATGTAAACAAATATAGCAAAAATGAGGGAGCCAACTCTGAAAACATTTATCAGGGAATGTCACAATGAAAGTGTGGTTAAAAAACTTCAGAATATTTAGCTAAGATAATATTTTTTCACCACACTATGATGTTTTTGGCTGTATTGCATACGTTAATTTATGGCTGAAAGTTACGTTTTGCTGGCCATGCCAGCTGTCATCGTAATTTGGGGACCGAGCAGGTTTTTACAGGCCGGGGCCGCAAAATCAGCTGTCCGCTTACTTACTTAAAACATGAATGCATTTTAAATACACAATCAAAATCCATAGCATTGCAATGGAATTGTGTTATTGTCAACGTTGCCTAGCAACTATTTATTTTTATTTTTGCTGATTCCTCAAATTATTTCTTCACATAACCTTAAAGTTGTAGTTGTGTTGACTATCAGTGTGCATTATTATTGTGGTGAATAGTGGTAATAGGGTATAGTGTGGTGAAAAATAGCGTTCGTACCACGGACCGAAATGGTTTTGCAGCTCTCGATCGATTTAAGTTCTCGACTTCGTCTCGAACTTAAAAACTATCTCGAGCCGGCAAAACCTCATTTTCGGCCCTAGGTACGAAATATACTATATCTGGTCCATCTTTAAAATCCTTAAGATCTTTAAAAATCTGATAATTTCAAGTGTCCAAATCACTTAACCCACGTACACGCTGTTTCTTTGATCATAGTACAAAAAGTGAGGATTTTAATAGTGTGAAACCAATGTGTGTATGTAAAATGGATTTATTTTATTGTTAAAACTACGAGCATTGTTGTTGATACGTAATTAATATCATGAACTGCTGATAACATTATACGAAACAATTAAAAACTCTTCATTAGTGCGGTGTACTCTTTCACTGCATGGATTTCAAACTCGCCAATATCACAAGTACACACAATTGATTGCTACAGTATCAGCTCTCAACAATAAATAATGTTAGTTAGTTATCTGAGCTTATTCTGGAAACAAAATTATGAATATTACAAAGGGAATGTGCATGACAAAAATGTTACTATAAAATTTTTATCACAGGGTGTAAAATCACATGATATATTAAGGGGACATAAAAAATACTAAATCCACAGTAGTTTTAATAGTAAGCCTTAGATGTTGAAAATGGAATATGTTCTGATGGTTTCTTCTTATTTAGTTTCTTACAACTTTTTAGATTACCAAATAACATGTTCAATGATGGGAACCCATTCTCAAGCACCTCATTAGGCAAGAACATATTATATTGCCTATATTAATGCGTTTTCCGGAATAAAAAATAATCGTTACAGGTCGATCAGTAATTATATCAAGTGCAAAGTTATAAAGTATGATAAATAAAATAAAAAGGTTTTGTCAACCTAAAGAGGCATTTTCTCAAACTCAATTTTTTGTATTTTTCTCAACCTATAACCGTATCCATTATACATTAACTTATAGTTATTTTGAACTAGAACAAAGACAAACTAATATATTTATTATAGCCCTACCTTCATTTGCCGTATAATTTGCGTACGCGGAGAAGTCATTCTGGTAATCCTCACTCTCCCTTGTATATCTCTTTAGAGGACCTAAAAAACACAAGACTTGTAACAAATTATAACCCTAAGGATGTAATATTATAGCAATTTAAAATATATGGGTCATTATTTAAGCTGTAAAAGACAGTTTTAAAACTGTTTTTTTTTTATAAATTTATAATTTAAAAACTCTTCTCGAACCGAGCGAGAGTTGAAATACACTTTTGACCCATGTGATGAGCTATAATTTTCGTCATTTTGCACTTTTATTTAAACAAACAAAGTTAAAGACGAGGATTATTTTCATGTAATGATAACCTCTCAAACCGACGTCCAACTTGTTTTCAATTGTGACAATGCAAACTACCAGCTGTTTAGTAAGTGATTTAACCATTTGGACTATTACGATTGTGTAGGTGTTCATCATTCTATCGATTTGTCAAACTATTACAAGAATCCAACAATAAGCTACAACCGTTTAAATGGATCGATACATAATTTAGATGCATGCAATTTAATTTTTTTTAATCTAAGCTTACAACTTAGGGAGCAAAAATACTGCACATTCCCTTAGGGGGTAAGAGGGGCACTTTAGACCCGCAACGCATGTATTATTATAATGCATGTATTATACGTATTATAATAAACACGGCTGTTTTTGCTGCAGTATGACGAAAAATCCGGTTTCAACTAGTAGTACTGTAAATAAGTGCTAATGTTAAATGTATGTATATTCATTACATATCCTGCATATATAGTGCATACATCTATATGCTGATACATACATCTAAATACTGGTACAGACATCTATATGCTGATACATACATCTATATGCTAGTGCATACATCTATATCCTAGTAATGCATCTATATGCTGGTAAATACATCTATATGCTGGTACATATATCTATATGCTGGTAAATACATCTATATGCTGGTACATGCATCTATTTGCTGGTACATACATCTATAATCTATAATCTATAACTATCCGCAGTACTATCCTGATAATTAGACCAATTCGTAAATTATAAGAAAAAAATGTGGTTCGGATTCCACTATAAACTGTAGGTCCCTTAGCTGCCATTAGCTTTATGGGCTATTAATTAACAGCTGTGTCTAAGGAACATGTCGGCCTTAGTCACTAACAAGACTACAAGATCGCGCCACTCATCATACACTCATCCTTCACTCATATTTGGGCTAAAATACGCACATAGTGGCGTCCCCATCTTAAATAACTGATAATTGATTGATAATTGAATTGATTGAATTGAATATATGCTGATACATACATCTATATGCTGGTACATACATCTATATGCTGGTACATACATCTATATACTAGTGCATACATCTATATGCTAGTGCATACATCTATATGCTGATACATACATCTATATGCTGGTACATACATCTATATGCTGATACATACATCTATATGCTGGTCGTTGGACAATTAATTCTGGTCACATTGACCAGAAGAGCAGTAACGTTGCGTTGATCGTGATTAAAATTATTATTTATGTGCTGTTTACAATATAATATTATTTAAAGCACCTTAATATCACATTTCTAGAGCTCTTGAATCGGATGATCCTAAATCATCATACATTCCGGGAGAAAATTAACTTTTGAACTACTGGTATGTAGTTAATTAAATATAAAATAAACATCGATGGAATTTAATTAACTCTTACAATTCGGGAAGAGATTTTACAAATTGCATCAGAACCAGAACTCGTCTATGTTTACTTGAACCTTTTTAGAAATGATTTAAAGAATAATCATAGATTATATGTTTTAATGCGGTTTCGTGTTTACATTGTTAACAACGAAATTAATACACAAATCTATTAATTTTGGAAAGTGGTTAAGAATTGAATTAGTCGGTCTATTTAGTATGACCACAATTAATTATCAACTAGTGTTGTAAAAGTAATTTAAGTAATAATTGTTATATAAATCGATATTTTAACTTACAGTAGTTAATCTACCACATGCAACCATACAGGTAAAGAGAAATCTCACCTGCCGAAACCAACGCCAGGAGGCAAAATGAAGTCCATAGTTTGCCCAATCCGCCCCTCACCATCTGCAACAAAGAAATGAGTAACTGAAAAATATAAATACCATAGCATGATGTACATAAAATGCATTCATAACACACACATAAAAAGTGCCTAACCTTACTAAGTGCATGGGATACACTATTGCATTTTAATATATCTGGTCAGATACAACCTGTTTAAACCGTCAGTCAAAATAAGAACTACAATAAGTAAGTTTAATTACGGTAATTATGACTCCGTTATTATTAACCTAGAAGAATTATTATTTATTCAACAGAGAATCAACATAGGGAAGTTTGTTATTATTATTTACTGATACGTTTTAATATGAAACAAACGCACGGTTTTTTTTATTGCATGTGTCTCGCTAGAACCCAAAATTAACGTTTTCAATCATAACACTGTTAACAGAAAACGGACAATAAATTTAAAAACCTCAGAATGAAAAAGCGTCTACCACAAAGTAGCTAATAGACACAATAAAATTAAGATTTTGCCCGTTTAAACTTCTTTTGTGTCCTGATGGTTTTTGCGACAATAGAAAAAGCATTTAAAAAAGAAGTACATAAAAGGTCCCCGACTATAATTTTTTTTATTGGCAATTTACTAGAAAAAGTAGTTTAGTGTGACCTATGGAAAATATTTGTAAAATTATACCCTGCTAATTAAATAGATGATTTCTGTTATAGCATTCTAATGCTGTAAACTCTAAAACCTGATTAATATATTCTATTGAAATACTAAGTAGAAAATGTTTTATAAGGTTTGTGATTAGCACTATCTGCAGTCGTAGCTTCAAACACAGTTTGGGAATTTATAAAATAATTATTTTTAATAATCTGAGCAAGAAACGTACCTAAAGTAGATAAGGCACAGATATAAAAATGTGTAACAATTAATTGAGAAGATATCAAGAGAAATTTGTGTAGAAACTGGTTAACCGGACGTTGATTGCACGAACAGACTTCAGTGTCCAGCAGTTTATGTAACGAGTAGACGAGTCAGCAGCATTGTTTGGGGTAGCATTTGTATGTATTATGGATGAGTTGGTTATCTGTGGCTTTGGGGATTGTTTCTTTTATTTATAACATTGCTTTCAGAGAAGAGATGTCCAAAAAAGCTACTCTCCTCACTTGAGATACCCAGTCTCACTTTAGCTTCATTAATAGTTATGTATTTTAATCCCTTCAGTTATCAAATAAACACTAGCTGCACAAAACCTCAGTTATTAGATGAGTTTTAACGAATTTTGAACATCTATGATCTACTAGAATATTAAATATAAAGAATTAAAATAACACTACTTGATGTAGGGTTACCACTTAACTATCGATATTCACATATTGTGTGAGGTTGGAGTGTAAAAAAAACCGATAATCTATTTCGATCTTATACTATATAAGGATTTATTTCACTATCTTGAAAGTAGATTCGGATGAGGAAGAGACGTTATCTGAACATCAGAAATTGCAAGCCCAGATTATCCTCCGAGGCAACTCTTAGATCAAACAAGGGAGGATGAACTCTATTCAATCTTAAGTTAGCCCTCCATGAGTTACAAAAATCATAATTTGCTGGGTTAAGGATGCACTTCGTTGGGGACACATTTCCTCGAAGGAAAAGTGTAAACATTTGAAAACAATTGTGCGGACTTTAAGATAATGATTACATTTTAAACCGATGTCAATATATAATGTATAAAAATAAATATATTAAAATTCTAAAAGTAGTATTGAGATTTAACGATAAGCAGTGTTAAAGTCTATGGACGTAGAAGAAAGGTTTCTGATACTTCTTTCATGCAGCGAGTCAGTCGTCGACTTCTTTTGTGAGAATTATTAATTTATATCCCTCAAAGCTGACTGCCTGGGAAGATTACTCTTTATAAATAGTTCAGTGAGATGTTTTATTTACTTCTATCCTTTCAACACTCTACTTTGAAACTAAATGGTTTGTCAGTTAAAAAACCATACTCTTCACAGCATATTTATTAGAATATGCAGGTATTAATGTTGTATTTTTATTTGTATTATTTAGCCATGTTATGGACTGATAACACTACAAAAATCGTTTTAATCTAAGTAGTCATAAATATGCTATGTCTATGAAAACATTTGTTACATATGATACAATACGAAAACTGATGTGTTGTCAAGTTATTAACTGACCAAATCACAGATTTATAAACGTGACTGATTACCTACTCATTAACCCATTGACTGATTATTGGCATAGAAGTTTTAAGGGCGTCTAAGATTTATGAGTTGAAAGTGGACCACCAGATATACTAAAGTTAACGCTAAGTTGGAATTCGAGCTAAATCACAGCATAGTTATATTGCTAAAAGTGTGTTGTTGATTGACGGGATTTGAGCGTAGGCTTTCAAAACACAAGTCCTGCGCTCTAAAAGCAAGATTAGCTATACCATATACTTTCTTTGGCATAACATTATATTTTTCAGGTTAGGATATACTTTGGGATACCCTGTACAGCTCAATAGACTCAATAGCCTAAGAAAGTCAAATATTGTCTTAACTCTCATACCACCTTCTTGTTTAAATATCTATACAACACAAATTATATAGTACAGTAGTAAAAGATAGACCCTAGATAATGTGTATAAATGATTAATTTATCCTAGACTTTCTGACTAAATGTCAACACGTACCTATACGTTATTGAGTTTGAGAGAGCTGTTAAACCTGTTTATAATACTGTACAATACCCGAGTGTTAATCACTGGCAATCGCAGAATGTCAAATCAGCAAGGTAAACATCCGATCAGCTGATTCATGCGTCACTGCAAACAATTGAAACGTTTCAAAACATTTAATCTACGTCTGATTACAAACAGAGATTCAGTTCACTTTACTTGACTGATAAGTCAACTGTAACTGGAATGGTTTGTATGATTCACGATTTCTTAGAAAACATCTTTCAACATACCACACTATAGGGATAAAGAAACTGATATTATAGGCTAGTATTTTCTCAAATATTCCTAAATGACAGAGTGAATGGTTCTAATCAGCATCAATTTAAAGTTTAAACTATTTTAATTAGTACTGAAATTAATGGTCTCCAATATATAGGTTTTGTTACTTCACCTATAGATATTTATGCGATAAAAAAGATCCAAATATATTTGGATTATTTAAATTTATCAACGGTAATAAGATCTTTTGATTTCGCTAATTCTCTTATTTGTTAGTTACAGGTGAATAGAAAACATTCAAAGGTGAGAAAGACAAAAACTATAAGTGTTTTTACGGACGCAAGTTTTACCACGAGTCAACACAGTTTAGGTTTACCATAGCATTTAGCATTTCAATTGATCAAATTGTAATGTAAGCAATTATGTAATTATTGGTTTTGTTTGGTTGAAAATACAAGTATCGTCGGTAATATTTACCAACTGATATTGCTAGTTTGGCCTTAGTTAATGTAAAATTGCATAACAACCAAATTGTTCTTTAAATTCTGCTCCTCTCTGCATGTATTACAACACAAATTAAAATTAAACCTTTAAACTTTTATGATTTATTGGTTACGAGGGCAAAATTATAAAAATAGAGTAAGTACTGAAATATTCTATTAAGCCACCTTGTATGAGACAGTAAAGCTATCTTTATCGCACCTTTGGGAGCAACTACGACATTCATCTTGTCAATGTAAATGTAACAGCAGTTTCAATGTTGAAAACAACTGTTTGTGACAAGGTATAACCTAGCTCATTTCATTTCCTGAACAGCTAACTTCTGTTACGACGGTCGAACCTTTATTACCTGAACCTATAATTAATTGTACATTTAATTTAGAGTGTAATTTTATAAATTATTTACTGCAAACCTACATTGTGGGTTTTCAAGTTTGTACATTTTAGTTACTCATAACTTTTTTGTAAATCCATTCCAAATTATGTTTAGAATTTTATTTGCTGTGTTTTAAATTTTATTTCATCTAAATCTGTCCCATAACAAATAGTTTTAGTTAAATGTAAAAATTTTAAAATTTGTGTTTTGGAAGAAAACATTTGTATGTTACTTCGCTTCTCAGACCTGAAAAAGAGACTCTTAAGTCATAGTACTAGAAAGGGGTGGTATAAGGTTGTCTTTAGAGATAGATAATTTACAACATTGTTTATGAAATCAGATACTCGAAAATCTTTTTGGCTAACCAATGGCAATTGTTTTAACTTTAAACACTTTATATTATTTATTAACTTTATATTTTTTTATATAAGTCCCACGAGAGGTGCCTCAAATTGATAACGGAAAAAACGGCTTAACGTACAAGGATTAAATAAAATTATTTCCCACTAACTCGATTCCAAGGAATAATGTAAAAATATACGCCTTTAAAATGGTGTATAACATGACATATATTTACATTTAAAAATTCCGAGATTTGAACAAGTGACTCTCAGTTTTTGGCACACCCTGTATTGGAAAAAAGTTAAAAATATATATATATTTTTTTTCATTATTACTTGGACACACCCTGTATAATCATTGTCTATTTAACGGTGGAATGCTGTAACCAAAATTATGGCATGTGTGTAGATACTTGGTATTCTTTATTTACTATGTAACAGAGGCAATAGTTGTTGTTTGGTTTTGTCGTAAACTATCCTTACATAGCCTATGGTATTACCATGTGCCTAATGTATTACCACAGACAATTATTACTAAATAGAGGCGTTGAATTGTTGTTTTAATATTCTTACGAGCAGTGATCGCATTATCGTATACGATAGGGTAGGATATATCGGTCAATCGTGTAATGTAAACAAGGCTTCTAACGGAAATCTTTTCAGATAGGTTGACAAAGGAGCTGTGAGCTGGTGGCATCTTTTGATGTGGATAATAATAAATAACGGAAGCCTTATGTTTGACCTGTTCGAGATTGGTTGGGATGAGGAAATGTGTTTACAAGAAGCCTCTCATACTGACCTACATGGTGTGAGAGAAAGCTTCTCATGAACTTAAAATTTACAAATAACATGAGAACCAAAGAATACAAATTAACTTTTATTTTACTTCCAAGTATTACATTTTTGTAATTGTGTGAGAGTGTGAGAGAGATTTCCTTGAGGCTCAACATACTTTACGTAGTTGTTAAATAACTTTTGGTGTTCGATGGGATTTGAAGCAAAGACCTCGATGACCTAAGCACAGACAATATTGTGACCAAAGCCTCGCATTCTACTACTTGACCAGTTTGCTACAAAATACAATAGTGATAATCCTATTTTAGTGGTATTGTGGGCACTGTGTTTACTTTGTATTTGTATAGCAATCTTCTCCTATACACCAAATTCTGAGAGATAGTAGCCTACCTGGTAGCGAATTTCCCTATATGCTATTACCGTAGAAGGCACGGTAAGACCTAGGCCCGGGCCAATTTACTTTTTCATTTAAATGCCCCCAGAGGCCAAAACACTATTCGTTCGTATTTATTAACTTTTAAGCTCGCTAACTTTTTTGACACCTTTTACTGAAAAATACTTTTTATTACCCTCCTTTTAGTTACAAACCTAGGTACTCATTGAACCGAATGTTATTTAAATATATTTAAGTGAAAATCAAATCAGGCAAATGGAAATTACCTTAGTCTGCAGGTTTGCTGTGGCGGGGATATTTTAATATTAAATTTGGTACATTATAGCATTCTCATTCAATATATTTGGTTGGCAATAATTGACACCCTATGTGTCATTATTACAGTATTCTTATTATAATATATTTGTCTTACCAGTTCAAGGGCAAGTCACAACAATGAATGTCTTATTATAATATGTATTATAATAATTATAATAATATATTATATGTGTTATTATTATAAGTCTTGAGTATCAAATATATCTTATTATTTTTTAACTTTATCTATTCACAATATTTGATTATCCCTAATGTTCAGGAAAACAAATTTAAACCATTGTCACGTAATCAAGTTGAAAATATTTCTTCTGACAAAGGATAAAATGGATATTTAGGGAGAACAGTTGAAAACTGCCAAATCGGACGTGGAAGAAGTGAGAGAAGTGCAAATTATTGATTGAGCTTGTATGACTGTCAGTGGCGCGGCGCCGAGACGACGGTCATGGAGGCGCTCCAGCACAGGGGCGGACTGCCAAGAGGAGGGATAACACTGGGCAGCTTTGGACATGTTATTGTTGACATTTCTAGTGTGAATAAAAACATACATATAATTTAAAATGTAAATCTAAAGCGAAGTTCTAGCTATTACATTTAATAAAGATAATGTAAACCTAAATATTGTCAACTATATACTGTATAACAGTTTTATAGAGAATATTTGTAACTAATATGGAACAAAAAGTATGTTTTACATTTTTTTGCGTGGGACAAACATGTTATCTTATTAAACCTTTGACTATTAATACAACTACTCATGATGAAACTCAGTGCATTTGCCTCAAATTTCTTGTGATTTGATTGTATATCAAACTTTGTATTCACAGCATTATTTCAAAAATATATTACAATATTATCTGATATAAATTGTTCCTTACTCCTTTGGATTTCTTTAATAAGCTTGATTTTATTTATTTGTTTCTTATATGTATATAATTTAATATCGTACGTAATTTTACCGTGTAATAATTGTGTATATTAGATTAAGAATATTTAAACTTCAATGTAATATGTGCACATATTCAATACAGATATTGAAATTAAATTAAATAAGCTTAAATAAGCTTGAATAGTTTAGGCACATTGTTCTTGAAAGGATAAAAGACAACGTGAAGCCGTAGTTTAAAAAGAAGAAAAAACAACACCATGATTGTAGTTATTGGTTTATCATAGTAGAATATTTTGGGTTGTATAGACAAACCTAGTTGTTTCAAGAACGACTATGTGCTCTGTCGTTTTGTTCTCTCTCTATGCAAAATAAGCATGGATTTAGTATTTTTGTTCTTTGAAAAACTAACTACTGTATAATAGAGTTACACTAATATGCTTTGTTGATATTTGGCTAATTACTCCAATAGCAATCACCACTACAGTACAAAATTCATTTTATACGTGAAGCTTGTCTCTAGCTGTTGGAGTGCGGGTGCTCTATCATGGGGACGTTGGTTAGAATCCGTCCAATCACAATGGACTTTAAACCTTGTAATATGACCTTGTAAATGCCATGTAAGTAAATGTGGCCTTCGTTTGATAGTTCTAAGTCCACATTTACTATAGGTACTTATATAAGGAAAACAACAGAGAATATGCAACTTTCTCCGTAATTAAGAAACCATTAATGTTTTACGGTAATCAATTAACTTAAATTCTATTTTACCAATGCTTTTGACAACAATTTACAATTCAACGTAACACCGTATAACCTACGCATTTAAACAGAATTTATAGTAACACATTTTAATTTCAATATCAAGCTAGTGTTGTGTACAGCAAATAATTATGAAAATCGAAAATGTGCTGTTTGAGAAAATGTTAGGATTTTACAAAGAGAAAACAAATTTCCTTCTTTAAACACGATCCGAGTGTTGTCTCTGGGAAATGTTGTAATCGAACGATGACAAGTCGAAAAACATTTATATTCTCAGTCTAACCCTTCTCCACGAGAGTGTAATACTCAAGGGGTTTCTCGAAGCTTTATTTTTTATCAAAACCAATACATTTGATGTATTAAAATTTAAAAGTGTAATAATCATTTTAACTTAAAGTTTATACCTGACACCGTAAGTAGACTAGTAACTGTAGTGTTACATAAACTCACCCTTTAAACCAACTTCAGTTTTCTGGTAGAATATTCTTGTAGTTTTACTGCTTCCCGGTTTGAAAGGTATCCTGATATCTGGAACAGATTAATTACAGGGTTATTCAAACTGTCGAAAGTACTTTTTAATAGTTTGAAAATGAGGCTGAGGCTATATACTCTATACTAGGTAATAAAAATAAAATGTCATTATCATGTATGGCTTGTAGTGCAGGGAGTTCTAGCTTGGTGGCTCTATAGTAAAGGTTAACTCCAAGCAATATCCAATTGGTAAGCGATTGGTGGTTGGAAGGAGTTGGACTCGGACAACCAAGTCAGAATCCCCAAATATAACCACGATCAAATATTTTTAACGAGTCAAAATAAAATTATGGAATAGACGGGTTCAAGAAGCTATGTGACTTGACAATTTTAAGTGAGATCAATACAAAACACAATAAACACAATATTACACACAATAAACACAATATAAATAAATAAATCGTTTATATGAATAAAAATAGTCTTGGGCCAGATTAGGATAAGGATTGCACTAAATCTGAAATCAATTATTCAAATGTACACGTAATATGCCCCCAATTATAGTTATACCGAAAAAGATATACTTATAGTACTGTATTATAAAAAAAGAAAACAGTAATATAGCTGGTACTTAGATAACCATGAATAGAATTAAGAAATTACACTCTCTTTGAAATGGAATTTCGCCGTTGGAATATGAATGTGGCAATTTACACAATATTAAATCTGACTGCGACGCGAAGCTGCTTTTAAGTCTTTGAATAAAAAATCAAGTTTAGCTGGTGCAAAGGAGTGCATCGAAATATAATGCGGATGTTATCAAAGTACGTTGATAACTTATCGTTATGTTGAAAACTAACTATGAGATTACTTTGACCATATTTTTATAACATTAAAGACGGTTTAAATTGAAAGATTATAGTGTTGAGTCATGATTTTCTCAAGCTGTAATACATTTATGTTCTGATTTTGCATTTGAGTCTTTGACTAGTATTTTCAAACCAATACTTTAATATCACCACAATATACTCTGATTAACCTAAGTGACAAAATATTTTGAATAGTTAATCGTCTATTACCTTGGGGAGCGAGCTGGTCTAGAAGTAGAGCACCAAGCAAACTAGACCAAGCAAACTGGGGTAGAGCAGTTTAGGGCTTTGGTCCTTTAATGCCCTAGTTCAAACCCCGTATATCAACAATGACTTTTAAACCATGTAATAATAGAGCGATCCTCCAAGCCTAACGTATGTGTGTAGAGCCTAGGGTCCTGGGATGTAAAGGGGAAACATTTTGAGGATGTGAATATAAAAAGATGAGGTTAACTGTAAGAAAGGACCATGAGGTCCTAAGTTCGCCTTAATAGAGAAGCATTTTCATTTCATTTTAATAATATAATATCTTCTACTGGTATCACTATTACGTTTTTTTTTTATGATATCGTCAGTTTAAAATAGAGATATTGAAAGGATTGAATTTCATTTTGGACTAGGACCAACCGAAATTGATTTCAGGCAGTTGGCGATACAGAAAATCGAATAGTGAATACGTTTAGTAAATTCGGCCTACGTTAGGAGAATGAGTCTGTAATTCCAAATCTAGTTTACTATTATTAAAGAGCAGATATTTAGTTGAAATTTGAGACAGTTGTCTTAGCTGAACGTTAATTTTAGCCCCAACTAATTAATTAACCTGACAGATTGATCAGCCGGTATACAGAATATTTTTATCGACCTAAATAGATTATTACATCACCAATTCCAAGACTTTTTAATCACCACTTTTTTATTTATGACTAACTGTACGCAATAGCATCATTGCCTGTTCACAATAGTGATGATTTTTAAATGTGAAAACTTTGCTGACCTACATTCTAACATGTCATGTAAATAAACACTACCTAATCGTGCAACAGCTGGCATGTTTTATGCATATGCTATCACTTAGCTTATTTATGCATTTTAGTTACGATTCTTAATTTGTTTGCCAATTGTTTTTCTTTAGTTTTGTTAATTTCTTCTTGTCATCAGATCTTTAAAAAAATCATAAAGCTGCTTGAAGATGCTTTTGGTTATAGTTTTCTTCAATATATTAAATAAATCTTTGAATTATAAAATGTGGTTAGTATAATGGTATAAGGTATAATCTACGATGGCTGTATTAACTGAAGAAACTTTCAAGGTCCCCATGAATGTGGATGGTATAAGTAGAGTGTATTATTAGTTTTACTCTTCATTTTATCATCAACATTACAGGTGAAAGTCGCTATAAAACATGTTTAAGACTCTATGAGTTGCTTCTATACGGTACAGAGCGAATATGCAAGAAAATATTACATCTCGTTGTTTATAAATTCGTTACTCGGAAATAAGTTTTAAACCAAGTCATGCTAGTGTCAATGCATTCATTCATTCTAAGGCAACAGAAAATTCTCAGTAATGCTTGGATTATAATGGTTCAGTGAGAATTATCCATCCACAGCCTTGGGTATAAAATATAAATATTACATTGTATGGACTTGTTTCAGTTGCAAACGCCTAAGCTGTTGCCATCCTTCACAATATTATTTATTTGCTAAACTTATAAGGTTATTTAAGCTTTACATTTCACCGAATGTTTCTACATCAACAAACAATATCTGCCTCGATCTGCTGATATGGAAATACGAGTTGTACGAGTTGCGGGCTGGAGGACAGAATAGACATAGAGTGTGCGGATGAGTTAAATGTAGCAAACGTTGTGTTCTCCCAAAGGAATATAGATGTATCATTTACGTGGCCTAAGCCCCGACCTGCCACAGCACAGCTATTGCATATTAAAATGCCAGTCGTAAACATAAAGTTTTAAATAAGCAAAAATAACATTGCATTCATAACAGTTTCTGCAATAACATCCTATTAACAAATTTACTGTTTCAATTTTTAAGCCCCCGCTTTTTTTTAATCTAAGAAAACGGCTGGACTACCATCAGGCAATAGGTATACAAAGAGTACAATTAATTTTAATTTTAGTGAAATAATAGCTGATATTTCAATACCCTCGCCGCAGCAAACCTGCCGACTAAGCGAATTCCCATTTGTCAGAATTGATTTTCAATTAAATATATTTAAAAAACGTTAGGTTTAACGTTTTTACCTAGCAGTACCTAGGTTTGCTGCTACAAGGAAACTAATAAAGAGTGATTTTTTGTAAAATATTAATATCTTAGTATAAAATAAAGAAATTTTCCAAATTTGATAAAAATATATCCATAAACAAACTACAACCATAGATTAAAAGAAGTAGACACCTTTTATCTATGCTACAACATTTGATATTATTCTCTATAAGAACAACATGGGAATTTTAAATTTATTTGTTTTTCTTCAGTTTTAATAACCGTATAAAACACTTTGATATACTATTTTTTAAGCTCTTTAAAAAGGTCTAGAGAGAAATTGGAAAATTTTGTGTTTTCAGGATCCAAAATGTGAAAAACCAATTTTTATCCCATAAAACCCCGTTTACATGGTCATAATCGGAGGCTAATGTAGTTCGCAAACTCATTCAAGTTTTTCCCGCCTTACACCTTTAAACCAAATGTCATCAAAATTGGACAAGAATTACTCGAGTCATCGCGTTCACGGACACATATATAACTCTCTCTGTATGGTATATACATATACAATTTGAACGAATGGTGTTTTTGGCCTCTGGGGACATCAAAATGAAAAAGTAAATTGGTCCCGGGCCACCTACGGCAATAGCTACTTCCCAACAATTAACTTTCAATATATTGACAACTTTAAAAATAGTAGTTATTTTTAGTGTTCCATACTTTTGTAGCGTTTTGCTAAAATGTCTGAATGAGACAAAATTGCTTTGTCCGACAATGGGCTGGACTGTAAACCGCTGAAATACATCGGCCTGTGATGAATAGCCCGCTTTGAGGCTTGGAGACATGGAATAAAACAGATGATATTGTTATATGTTGTGTACATGAATTGCGAATTCTATTTAACTTAACGGACATATCTGAAAAGTGATATGTGTTTAACGCAATGTTTTATCCAATAGAGTGTGTCTCAAAAATTGACGACGTCAATGAAAATTGTTTGATAACCAGACTTGTCCATATCATTGATCATATTATGCTGCTAGTTACCAACAATTACGTGTTGGTTTAGCTCATCTATCACCAAGTGACTTGTGAATATAACGATAAGCTCGATCGTTTTGCTAACTAATGATTCTGTTGAAACAGCCCTCTGTTCAAGGTAATCCTAGTCGATCTGGTTTCTTGCCCAACGATAAGGAATAAGGGCACAATTGTTGGAGTTAATATTAAACTGATATTAGTGATGAAACAATGAAACTGCAAACAAATTAATAGTTTTTTTGTCTCAGTAGATCCATTTATTTGGTAATTTGTGCATTTAAAAAATATACCTACTTAGAGTAGTTGTAAGTGTTTATAAATGTTGACAACAGCAAGCCTACACTAAAAATAGATTTGATCTTAAAGTCAGTATTGATTCGGAGACTTATATATATTATAGTTTTAGTTATAGAATATTATAGTTTCATGTATCGTTATTTAATTTACATCCTTATAATCCCCTACTACTGCTGACTCCGACAGAGGCAATCATCCCCTAGCATCAGCACCTAAGCTGTTTTACAGTTTTACATTTTAGTTTTACAGATCTTGGTCGACCAACTTGCTAATGAGATCTAGATCTTCGTCCCACTTACAAATAGTTCCAAGAACTGCAATACCTAGAATACCTCATTTTCTTGATGGAAATACCATTAATACTTTGTCAAGTAATCCATCTATTTTATTAATAAGAAAAGATCTAATAAAACCTTTAAACCATCTAATAAAGTTTCATTTAGTTAGTATAAAAACCCTTGAATTACACGACAAACACTTTTTTTGGGAAAATTGGTGTTTTGTATTAGTATTTTTTCACTCTTAAAATAATAAAAGTTGTGCCCAAAAATTTATTTATATTAAAAGAATATAGTTACATTGCAAAAAATATTCTAATCAACTCTATCTATTCAAAAACACATTA